CGTTAACTTTGGTGCAGTGCACCGCACACCGAGGAAGAGCTATAACACAACGTGTAAAAAGGCTTGTTTGTGTAAATAAATTGTATAAAATGAAAACTATAAATCAGTGAATTTACGTGAAACTAGGGAGGCATGAAGGAGGATCTGAGAGTGCATGCTGGAGTCCTGCCCTGTAAAAGTCTTTATAGAGCTAAAAACATTAACTCTTCAAATGACATCACTCACGAACAAAACATTGTGTCGTTTGGTCGCATCATTAATTTGAGGCACTTCATTAACAGAAACGCATCATCATTTACTTGAACAAACTAATCCTAGAATGACTTGAAATAGGAAAAATAGAAGGTTTAGGATCCAGTAGCTTGACCCAAGGTGGTAAATATCTGGATTTGTTACGTTTAGTATCTGAATATCTGTTGGACTTTCTCTTTTTTTTTCATTTGCACAGAACAATGGAAAACTTTTAGGTAGTAATTTAGATAAATAGCAATTTATTTGGTTTAATTAATCTAATGTTATGTTGCATAAAAATATTGTAATTGCATTATGTCTTTGATCTAACAGAAAAACCTAAATGAAAAGAAGAATGTGTGGTTCAGTGTCTTGAACAGATGTGAGGGATCTTCCTCGCTCTGTAGGGGATCTGTATACTGTGTATTGCTGAACTCTTGATCTGTGAACTCTCTGATATATGAAATTTAGCATGCGGCTTCATCTCATTGTGTGTAAGTAAGCGAATGAACCTCCAGGATTGGCCTCTCCTGTAACTGGCCAGTGGAGGTCATTAACGCAGGTGTTTCAACAGACAGAAACACGTCTCGGTGACATCGGCTACTTCTGCCAAACATACAAAAATACAGATGTGAAAAGGGGCGGCCTGGTGTGAATCAGACCATTCTCTCTGTCTCGCTTCGTTTCGCTTTGTTTGTTTGATGAGGATGGAGTTGAGCAATGCCGTTAGTGTGGTGTCAGCTGTAGCGTAGCCTCTGTAGTTTACAGCCGGAGGCAATAGTTTTCTACTCTTGAGTCGGGAGAGAGAAAGGAAAAAGGCAGAGAGCGTGAGGGAGGAAATGTGAAAGAGTAGGAGGGAGAAGCTCCGTGGAGGGTTCATGCAAGTGCAAAATGTTTTAAGCGGTTCTAGTGACAGATGTCTCGGTGCGGTTCTGATAACGGGTTCTAGTTTTCGGTCTTTATTTGTGGATGTGAAAGATTAAAGTTGGGTTGAAAGCGAGGTCCTTTCTGGTGACATTGAGAACATATCTCTGCATGGAGGTTTCTTTGAAAGCAGAAAATCCTCTTTTGTGTGGTGATGTGCATGTTCTCGTACCTTTGTTAGGTATTTAAACATTTGAATACACGCTGGCACAGGCAGCTGTTTCGGGCAATTTCCAGGGGGTAGATTCATAAGTATATTTTTAACAGCATTTCAATACATGCTTAGACCTTTTCTACTGAATGCGCTGCCTCTCCTGGCTTAAACACGTGTCGGTGCCTTAATGTTACATTCATCACTGTTGTGTTTTACACTCCGAGTGCGAGAGAGGGAGAATATTGCCAAGATTTCCGTTGCATTGCTTTTGTTATTAGCTTCGTACTTGTAGCCAACGTTTTGGACACAACTCTGCCAGGAACAAATTGGATTATGTGATTAAAGGAAATGATGTGAGGTGTCAGAACACGCACCGAGCAGCAGTGAATCAAAGTAAAAAAAACAAAATGTTATGTAGTTCATTATTGTACAAATATCCTAAACTGTTTCCCAATGCTTTACTACATTCCTTTCCTTACCTGATTCTGATTTGAGTGTGTTTGCACGAAAAATATCAGTGTTGATACTAAATTTACTGACTGATTATATTGACTCACAATGCATTCCATGAAGGAAAAGTTTTTTGGTTAACTTAGAAATAGCCCTTCATATCTACAAAGGGAGCGGGGTCTTCTTCACAGAGTCCCACATCCTAGACACCATGTTTCTACAGCTGTCGGGCAAACCAAACAGTCAGATTACTCCGACTACTACTGCATTATAACAGTGTACTTTGTACCATTTCACAGTCTACAATACCTTTAAGGCCACCGCAGTTCTCCGACACGCTTGTGTGACTGAGGTAAAATCCATGGAGTGCAAAACCGTGGTACCGCCAGCTGCCGTCTCACTTCCGTTGCTCTTTAAGTATTGTTATTTTAGGAAGGATGGCCTCTGAATGAGGCAAATGGAATTACTTCGGTTTTGCACTCAGTGGCAAACATTACCACAGCCCTGGAAAGGGAGAAGGAAGCGGAAGAGCGTTCAGTGTGGTTGCACTCTGCAACCATGCTGCAAGATGCAATTAATACACACTGGCCCTTTAAGAAGATACTCGCAGTGTCCTATTCCATTACATGCTCATTGTATACAGTATGTGCTTTATACTAATTCTGTAGTATACTGTGTATTACTGTAGTATACCGTTTTTTTTAGGTAGTTAAAAAAAGCAACCTTTCTAACTCTAACTGAAACAAATGATGACGTTTTTCCTGTACAAAATATAAAAAAGTACATCATTTATTTCATACAAAGAAGACATTTATATGGAAGAGATCTAATCTTATTGTAGATAATATGAGACATAGCTTTGGCATACTAATTAGCACCACAGTGTCTGTTGCGTGGTAACAGATCAGCGTTGCGTCAGAGCGTTTGGACTTTTCATCATATTGCTCATTTTGTTGTAATTTTTACATGAGATTGTAAAGAGTGAGAAGACGGGCTAGAGGAGTGGGGAGTAGAAGGCGACATGAAGGTGGTTATGAGGCCGCTTTGAGGGTTGAATGAGGCCAGTGGGTGACAGAGCAGATAACATATTCCTCGCTCCGACTGTCCGTAATGTAGCTTGCATTAAATACTCCTGAGTCAGTCGAGCTGCTGCACAGTCACTGGTTGGTCAGTGCTGACATGTAAACCAGTGGATGCGCTTAGTGGGATTAGAAATTGACCCCTGTCAGTCAAATATATACAAAGCATGGACAGTTGGACTTTCCAAGTGATGAAAGTCCTCTTTGATGTGTTAAATTAATCATCAAAATGATCCTCGATTCATTTTCCTCCTGTGAATGTATGAAGAGAAGCTCATTAGATTGGAGAATCCAGTTTATATGAAGAGCAGTAGCTTGTTACCGTACAGACGGGGAGGCAGAGTTTATCTGTGCATGCATGCAAGACACATCTGTGCCTGCCGAGTGTTTGATTCTTGATATGTTGGATGGACAATTAATTGCAAAACTGTGGGGAAGAAACACCACAATCTTACACTTTTTACCTCAGAAAAATCTAACAGTAACTCCTACAGTACAGTCACACTTCTAATCATGATGTAGTTCAGTGGCTCTCATTGATGCCACGACATAATCCATTACACACAGGTACTTGTGAATAACTCACTGTAACACTGTGTTATATATATACGTATACACACGTGAGTAAAATATTGTTTTTTTTCTCTTTCTCTTTACCCCCTCACCCTTTTTTTTGTTCTAGATATTTCCAGAATAACATACTACGCTGGTGAGTATTTATTTATTTATTTATTTTTGTTCAAATACAGGCAAGTATTGTTGAACTTCCTGTCAACTGATGGTAGAAATGTAATGTTTTTACTGATATAAACAGAAATAAATCCTTTTAATTTGATGAGATCACGTTCTTTGGTCCTGTTCTTGAACAGAACCGGTAGAGCTAAATCATTTCATATAGATCAGAGGTTTTATGGCCCGTAGCACCAGTCTCTCTCTCTCCATGGCTGTTGCTAGGTAACAGTTGATCTTGGATGCTGTATATTCGGAGCTGAGAACTCGTTCGTTCCTGAAAAGGACAGAAAAGCATCATTTACATTTCTTGACCTTAACTTTGGCAAGACTCCCGTGTGGAGACGTGTTGCCAAAGTTGAGGTTTAAGTTTGAGGTTAACTGAAACTTAAACTGATAAGGATCACAACTTCATTATTTTTAGTGGAGAGCATACTGCACATAACGTTCAGCCTCCATAACTCTATTAAGACTACGATTTACATCGTGCTATAACTTTAAGTGATGATAAGACTCGAATCACAGAGACGGATCTGAAGTTATGGTTCACAAGTTGGCCGAGGCATTTAAGAACCACATGTGGTTTCAATCTAGTAAATCAAAACGTAGGCTACATAAGTGATATGAAGATAAGAACATTACAGTATGAATGTATAAGAAGAAACAAAAGGCTATTGCTGTTGTGTCAAGTGGCTCTGACAAGTGATGTTGTCCTGTTTATAGATACGTCAGGTCATAAATATATGTGTTGCTCTAAAGGGCAGTTACAAACATCGTATTTTGTCTTTCATTTGGAGGACGTATTATTAAATATTTTAATATATACCTACATGCTCTCCATCAGTTTGTGTCACAAAAGGATCACAATGGGAGTGTGGTCAGTGTCTTTGCATTTGGAAGCTCAGCTTGAAACGTTCATCTTGTGCTCTGGCACGTCAGAGGAATCGAACGTCAGATTGCTTTATTGCCATTGAAGAGCTGGCATGCTGCAGGAGCAGATGAGATATGTTTGGAGAGGAACAGAGCGTGAGGACAGAGGGCAGTAAAGATCTGCTGAGGGCAGTAGACAGACAGAGAGACAGACCGACCGAGGGGACGGATAATGAAAACAAAGGAGAAAAGGAAACAAGTGTTGTAAGGGGTCAAACAGTGGAATGTATGTTTTTAGCGGCTAAACTTTTATACTGGTAAAACCGTGTCTTTGTGTTCATATGTGCCTGTTCATTAGTTGAACTGTTGTTTAAGAGTATGGTTCTATTAGCACAGTTATAAGTACTGTCAAATCAGGCAGTTTGCATACTTTCCACTGCATCAAGTCTCAATTACAGTATTATATCCTCCTGTCTCTTTCCTTCTCTGCCCTACACACACACGCACACACACACACACACACACACACACACACACACACACACAC